AAGTCAGGGTATGCCAGGGAAAGTCAGAGAATGCTTATAGTAGTAAGGGGAAACAATTGCTTTTTTTCTTAGTGAATCATGGTATAATAAAAGATTTCAAATTCTAAATTTCTGTTATACTTATTATTGTAATAAATTGTAAATCTTGGATTTTGAATATTGAATGTTGGTAATGTTTAAATTTAATCATTTTAAATATAAACTATTTTATTGAATGTTTAACAACTTTTTATTTTTAAATTTCAAAACCTACCATCTAATGTTTGTCAAAATTCTTTAAATAAGTATTTAAAATATTTTTAAACCTTATTCCTAAATAATTTTTAAGTTTCTTAAAAATTATTTAGAAATAAGATTTAAATAAAAATTAGAGATAATTATTAAATTCTTAATAATTATCTCTATCTTTTTGATATTTATCTCATTTTTAGATGTTTTCGCTTTTTTAATCCTTTTTTTGTATTAAACATTTTAACATTTTTACATTTTGTTTTTGTTTTTACTGCATTTTAATCTTGTCTTTAGACAAAATTAAGATTAGAACAAAATCGTGAGATTATTTTATTTAAATGGCTTTTGCGCTTTCTGCATGTAATTAAAACCAGTTCTAAATTTGATGTGAATGAAAAAATATAAAACGTGTGTAAAAAACTACTTTTAAAACTAGTTTCATTTTCAGTGTGAATGGGGTATTATATTTTATTATATTATTATAGTATTATATGTTTTTATATTTTGCATGAACCTGAATGTACATATTTATGAATTTTCTAAAAATCAATTTAATTCTTAAATATTTTTGTTCTATACAAAAAATTTAGACTTGGTCAGTATTTTCATATTTTATTGTAATCAAAAAGCATTTTATTTATATTGTTGAAAAGTTATTGAAATGAAAAATAAAAAGTTTTTGAAACAAAAAATTAAAATTTTGAAAAATTTTTTAATTATTAACTAAGAGTTTTATAAAGACATACTTTTTGCTAACCTTTTGCAGCCATATCTTAAAAAAATTAAAATCAATGGTCCAATTTTTTTGGGCAAGGAACTAACTAACTTTTAACTAATGAACAAGGAAATTTAAGCAAAGATTGAAATTAAAACTTTAGAAAAGACAGTCCAAATTTTGAAAGAGGAAAAGAAGAAAATAAAATGAAATTTTCCTTTTTTTAAAGATATTGCTTAATTTTAGCTATCATTTTTCTTTACTAAGTAAATGGTTTTCAAGATAAAGACGTTGTAGAAACTTTATTTTGATGTATTTTTAATACATTGTTCCAGTTTGGGATGTTGAATGCTGGATCTTCTTGATACGATGCATGGGTTTTGATTGTGTTTCTGCTTTTATGACTAGGCAACTCATTCTTTTATTTGATCTTTACAATATAGTATTCTACTTAATATTAAGTACTTTTGTATGAAACTTTGAGAATACTTAGTCATAAGTTTTGAAACTTTGAGAATAGATGCAACTTTTGAAATTAAATTTGCATCTATGTAATGTTAATTACTATGCAAAGTTTGATGCTACTCAAACAATTTCTGTCCTGGTGAAAAGTCTGGAATTACCCAAAAATTGACAAATACACTGTTTTTTCATGATTATGAAAAAACTGCAGAAAATTTTTTTTATATGTATCAAGAATTACTAAACCAATCAAAAGAATATCTTTATAGTGATTCAAATATGTTTTTATAATGATGAAATTTACATAAAATAAAAATGAAATTTTCTTCAAAGTGAACATTTTAGACAATAAGTTTGTTAAGGTGATCGACCAAAAAAAGCCATTTTTAAGAAAAAATTTACAAAAAAAAACATAAGAAATGTGCAGAATTTTTGTAACTAAGATAATATTATTTTTTTTTGCAAATAATTTGAAAACTTTAGCTAAAATCTATAATGGCGCAAAAACAATGTAAAAACATTTAGTTATCAAGTTTTTAAATCACTTTTTTTTTAGTTAGTCTAAAGTACCTAAACCTAATTTCTAGCCTAAGTACATAAACCAAATTTTTTATATATGTCCTACATATCCTAATCTATTTGAGTCCTCCACAAAAATACAACTCTTAAAGTTCCTTTACAGTGATTCTCACTGAAGCCTTTTATTATTGTTTTTAGCTTTTTTCTCTATTTTTTTTTACTTCGATTTTTTTTTTGCTTTGTTTGAAATTAAAAAAAAAAATTAATGAAAGCTAAACTTGTTGCTTTAAGATTTTATGAAGTCTAACATCACACCATTTCTACAAATATGGTTTTAGTTATCTTAGACTATATAAGCAAAGTGAGAGTTTTACTTAAGTTTATTTTTTGTCTTGAGTTTACAATGTCGTGACATAAAAAATATGATTCGACAAGTCTTTTACAAAATGCATGGGCAGTGACGTGGATTTCATTAAAGAGTGCCGTGAAATCATAAACATACCACCAGTAAGCACAGGAGGTTTTTAAAATGTTTAAAAAACTTATTAAAATGAATTTTAACATTTTTTAAATGATCTGTGCTTACTGGGCAATCCAGTAGCAATTTTTATCATTGTAAAGTTGCTTTACAACAAATGCGTTTTCTTCTGAGTGTGCTTCATTTAACTAGTTTTTTGTGACGTTAAGGAAGCAAAAGTAAATTAGGTCCTTTCCAGAAGGAAGATACCTACTTTAGGAAACAAAAATCTTATTATTAGAATCATGAAAAGTAAACATACATTTTAATTATGATATACATGTTACATTCATTATAATATTTATATATACAGAAAGTTTTATATACTAAACAACATAATATACTGAAGTTTTTAAATATATCTATATTGAGATACTGCAGTTATAATATTAAATTTTAATTGTATCTATATATTCATATCAATGTACTGAAGATAGAAAAAAGGATTTAATGCATACATTTTTCACATGCATTGGTAGCAGAACCCTAAAATCTTATTCGTAGTGAGAATGAAGTTTTTTATTTTATTTCAGAGGTATGCCAGGCAATACAAAATTGATTGAAATTTTTTCTATGAAGTGGTTCATTTAACAAACTATTATTTTTTAATATGTATTTACTTATAGATTTTATTGTAAAAAGGTTATTAACACAAATATAGAAAAATAATTTTTATACATTGTTTTTATTCATATTTATACAGTTTATGTAAATTAAGTACCTTCATATTATCAAAAAGATTAAGGTGTTGTTGTGCCTTTATGAGACTTTACTATGTTGCACAAATGAGTACCTAATTTTTTTTTGTGTGGAAAAGATATTTCAACTTTAATGTAATTGCATCATATATGTATGTGTTGGGTTTTAAAGCGTCAGCTAAAAAATTTTCATTGGATTGGTTTTAATGAAATTTATGATCTTTCTTATCATTCCCAAAATTATAATAAAATGAATAAAAATTAAAACATAATCTATGGCATACTATGCCATAGATTAAGTTTTAATTTTTAATATTCTTTAAGCTAAAGTATTAAAACTCAAGCCATATAGTAAATATGATGTAATACCATTAAAGTTTTAAATGTAATCCATAGCACAAAATAAGGGCAATGTAATTTCTTCATGTGTACAAAATGAATTGTTTTATTATTATAAGTATTAGTAGATACCAAAAAAAAGCATCTAAAAAAAGGAAAACTCTAATATAAAAACTCTTATATTTTTTGGTAGGGGTAGTTACCTTAGAGCTAGTTGCCTTTGATGGGCCTCTCAGTAATTGTGAAATAAAAAAATGTTTAATGTTTTCTTTAATTATTAAAAAAAAAAATTTAAATCATAAGAAAAATATCCATCTTCCAAAGTAATTTAACAAAAATGCAACTGTAGAAACAAAATAAAAATGCCCCATAAATGGATAATGTAAATCTACAAACATCATATATAAATGTATTGTCACTGCTCAAAAAATAAGTCTTAAATAATCTACAGAAGATGAAAGGAAAACAAGATACGACAACCACAAATCTTCAAAAGCAAAATATACTAAAAAGCAACCACCCTATCCAACTATATTTAAGAATTTAAAAAATTATTAAAACTTTCACTTTTGCCTGGTCTATTTTAAATTAGTACCCCTTATTCAAACATTTGTAAATGTTTTTACAAAAAAAAAAGATTATGTCATCTTTTTCTAAATAAATTTTTTTTATTAAAATAATTATTAAATTAAATTATTGGTTATTTAAAAAACTATATTAATTTATATCAAAATGCCATCATGAAACCAAGTATTTTCTAAAACATTACATAGGTAGCTACAACCTAATCAACTAAAAACATTCACTAATTAAATTTTTTTTATCAAAGAACTTAAAAATTATTTAAATTATTAATTAATTTATTCAATCTTCATGCATCATAAATTTTAAGTTGTTTAAAAAATTATAAAATTCTTAATTTATGTATAAAATTATTAAGAAATATATATATATATATATATATATATATATATATATATATATATATATATATATATACATATATATACATATATATATATATATATATATATATATATATATATATATATATATATATATATATATATATATATATATATATATACATATATATATACATATATATATACATATATGTATATATATATGTATATATATATATATGTATATATATATATATATATATATATATATATATATATATATATATATATATACATATATATATATATATATATATATATATATATATATATATATATATATATATATATATATATATATATACATATATATATATATATACAACCCTCTGAATTAAGAAAAACGAGGTCAGCAATATTTTCCTGACCTTAATCTGTTAGAGGAAGGCATCAGGTCAACCCTAACTCTGAGGGCTGTATATATATACATTTTTTATATACATAAGTTTATCATATACATACATTTATTATGTACATATATTTATACATATTATACAGGCTAATAAAAAAATTATAATATAAATGCACAAAAGAAGTTTTTGTTTTTTGTTTAGTTAGTGCAACCAGCATTCTTTTTGGTCAACCTCGATCTGGTAGGTACTTGTGCATATATAAAATAATATAAAATAAGTTTAAACTTAATTTAATCAAAGTATTTTTATAAACTACTTATTTACAAATATTAAATGTTTCCAGAATTTTTAAAGTTAGTTGTACTCAGGAACTAATTGTAGAAGATTAGGTAGATACTGATTTTATTAAAGAAGAATCAAATAAAGAATTATAAAGCAAGAAAAAACTAGATAAAAAGAGAAAGAGATGAAGCCTTACGACACAAGCGGAAGCTTGGCAGTTAGAGCCAATCTAACTACATTAGCAATGAGTTATTGAGCTTAAAGATAAAAAGCATTGTTACATATTAAACCCAATTTTATTATTGCAACAAACAAAATGATTGAATAGTTCACACACCAGACTTTCATTCATTAAAATGATTGATTATTGCCTCTCTGCTTTCATAACTCATTTACTTCTATTTAATGCATAATACAACTTTTCCTTTATTATGGTTAACTAATCAGCAGTAAAACAAAAAGATTAAAAATTTGTATTGATTGTCATAGATAAAGTTATCTGACCCATGATGAGATATAAGATGTTTGTCAATTAAATTGTTTTATTTTTTCCATGATGTCTGTATTGAAAGATAATCTTAAAAAAATGCTTTCAAAATAGTTATAAAAAGCAAATAATAGAGCCTGATGTCAACCAACTTTTACTTTAAAAATTCGGCATGTTAAAATTTTTTTTTTTTATTGAAAACTTGATATAACCTATATTAAATAATTCTATTTAATATAATATAATTAGCTTTGATCACAGTCTCAATTTAAGGACCTTACTTGGGACATGTTTTCATGATAAAGTTAGCTGACATGTTGGACTAGGTCCATCATTCCAAAATGGAAAGCTTCAGGACTTCAACATTTGGGTGTTGTTGCTTACAAGAATTGGCCAGAGCCTGAATAGATATATCCTAAAGGTTCAAATCTGGCCTCTTTAAGAAATATTTTATAAGAGCCATGTCTGGACAAGTTTTGCTGTGGGACAGAGTGCACCATCCAACATGAAAAGTCTAGGATGGTGTACCCTGTCGCATTCAAGTTCTCAAGCCCCATGAATAAAGAGCTTGATCTAAATAATCTTTTGCATCCAAAAACTTTTTTGCATCCTGTTGGTGAAAAAACCTATGGCATTTTGTGTCCACGAAAATTACTAGGCCAAACATGATCTGACAACCGTGTTAAGTTAGTTAAGGGTGATTTACCATTTTGATGTGGTCATGGACATCCTAAACATGTTTTGATCATTCTGTTTTCAGATAAAAATCGTTTTACCAGATCCACATAATGATTGATTGTTTTTTATTCAAAATAAGAGAATTTTCTTACTTCTTTACAGTCTCTTAGCCTTAAAAGCTTCAGTTAACAGAAATTTTCTGGTTCTGGCACAAGATTTATAGTAAAAAAATAGTTTAAAAAATATTTTATTGAAGTTAAGGAAAGTCGATTTCACTTACTCAGTACTTTTTTCATTGAAAATTATTTTTTGTTTTAGATCTAAAATATTTAATTGGTTACAATGATTCTCAAGATTGCTTTTTGGATATGCGCATCAATGATAGTTTTATTTACTGTAATCCAACCAATTGGACTGAGTTTTATCTAGTGGATGGTAAAAATTATATTAAGTTTTATTTATTAAATCTTTTAAAATATTGCAGAATCATATTAATAATATTTTTATTATTGTGTAATATTTAGTTTTTTTATTTTGTTTTTTGATATAAGATAAAAGATGTAGGCTCCAATGAATTGTCTTGCTGAAAAAATGCAAAAAAGTTTGAAAAGTTAATATAAGCTTGATTAATTATTAATTGTATTGATAAAATTTAAATAATTTATAATTTAGATTTTTTTCATTCTTTTGTATTTATGTAATTTTAAATAGCATTTATGGTTGACAGTTATTTAAATTTAATTTTTGTTAAGTAAATTAAAATAAATTAAGTTTTTTGGAAGTTTGATAATAGTCGATAATAATAGTTTGATAATATTCGATACGATATTACAGGCCTTGTGATGAATAAAAATTGCGTGGCGCATATGCACGACGTGATTTTTGACGTCATTAAATTCTTTTTATTTGCTTTTCATATTTATCGACATTAACTGCACCAATTTACTTAATTACCGCAAAACTACTTTAAATCATTAATGTAGAAATGTTAT